AGTCTGCTTGTGACATGTTTTGTTAAAGAACGCAGAAATGGCAAAAAGTAAAAAATACAATTTCTCAAACAAAACAAACAAACAAACAAACAAACCATAAAACAACTTTGTGCTCCTTTCCAAGAGATCAGCTCATTCAAACTCTCCACATGTAGCTACTTTAATACATTTATCTACTGTATATACTGTAATGGATCATTCCATTTGATTGTATTTCTTTTTATTAAGGTTATTAGCAACTAGTAATAATACTAGTTTTAATGTACTATATTTATTGCATATGGTAAATACTTTGTTTTATTATGTGCTCTTGATTAAAACATCTTAAGTCTCATTTTGTTAAACTGAAAGGGAGAGAGAAGTTAGAGACATATGAACTGAAAGAAAAGGTTAAAACATTCAAAAACGTGAATGCAAGAGAAATATAAAACCTGTGTAGTGCAAAATGGAATGAAATAAGCAAAAGGGTTCCAAGATAAGGGAGAGGAAAGTTGGCTTGGCTTGGAGTAGATGAGGAAAGAAGGGGATGAGGAGGGAAGGAGAGGCAGAAGAAGGGAGGAGAGAGGGGAGGAAATGAAAAGGTGGGGAGGGGGGGGTTCAGAAGCTTGTCATGGAAAAGCAGGAACAACACCAGAGAGGCCTACAGTGAGATTGTAGGTAAAGACAGCAATACATCACCTTAAATGAATTCACTATCGCACTGCAGAAAACACACACACGCACACACACAAGGACACACGCGCACAAACATAGTTGCCTGGTCTCTGGTGGTGGTGTCTTCTTTGACAGTAACATTAGTCTCAGGGATAAAAGTGAAAGAGAATTGGATTTTCTTCTGCTGGGGGAGAGGACTGCTGCTCACATTTATCTCCACACGGGGCCTGTGCTGTGTGTGGTGTATCGCTCTGTGTGTGTGTGCATGTGTATAAGACGGAGCTGGTTTCAGGGCACGGCACGTGGGCATGAGCAGGAGGCTGACGACTGATTTCAGCTCCGATTGGAGGTGGAGAACATACGAGGGCTGTGTATGTACTGTGTCACGGCAGCAGATTAAATAGTGGATGAGACTGATCCTGTCAAAATACAGACCTGACTTTTCGGAGCCATCTGTCCACCAGGAGATGTGTGTCTGGTATTACTGACACTGTGGGGACCAACACCTATTTACACACATTTTGGGGACTCCACCTTCCTCATGGGGACCAGCATCTGGTTAATCAGTGAATTTTAGGGTAATGATTTGGTCTAAGGTAACGTAGACAGCCATGAAATGGAAGCAACTAGGAGTGTGTGTTTGTATGCACTATGCGTGTGTGCAAGCCCGTGTATGTTACCGCTGAAGGAGAATATTATCTTCAGGACTGTGATGTTAGATGCGGTCAAGTGAGAAACACAATGAAACACATTCATCCTGTTGTGGCAGTGTCGAGGACCATGTGAGCCTGGCAGGTACTCACACACACACAGACACACATTATTACCAGTCATCTGGATGCCTGCCATACAGAATTATCCCTGCAACCCTGAAAGATAACAGAAACCAATAAAACCAACCACATGCACTCACACACTGTACTCGTACATTAGCTCATGCTCCGTTTTTTTTTTTGTCAGGTGCCAGTGAAAATAGAGACACACTCAACAGCACAATGAACCCATCTAATTTCTTGTTGCAGCTTCATCACTTGTCATCCACACTTACAGCAGAATACACACACACACACACACACACACACACACACACACAGAGCTTGTCCTAGAGCTCCTCTGCCAAACATTTACGAGCGGTCCTCAATTTCCTCTTTAAAGTACATAATTAACTAATCACATTCATATTCATTCAAATGTATTGCCTTTCAGTGTCTTCAGAAATAACACAGCTGTTTGCAGGGCTAAAGACACCTCCCAGTGTACGGGTATGTGTGTGTGTGTGTGTGTGCAGAGGAGGTATTGATATTCTGCCAGGTGGAGTGTGATATGGAACGGATTAGAGCAGAGTTTTCACCTTTTTAGAACTCTTCATTAAGTAAAAGTAGAAAGTGTTGCCTCTGCTTTTCCCAGGACAAAGCTATGATCATTCATGCATGTGTGTGAATTAGTAAATTGCTGTGTGTGTGTGTGTGTGTGTGTCTATGAAAGTGATAAGGAGTACTGTAGGTATATACAGCATATCTAGTCAACTGAACTATGAGAGGCTTGTTTGGTCATGAGAAGAGGTTTCTGTGTTGGTGTGAGTGTAAATGAACGTGATAGACCGTATACATCTGGACAATTACATTGTGAGTGGCTACAGTATCTGTGTGTGTGCCAGTGGGCAGCATTATCGCATTATTGAATGAGGCAGCCCAAGGTACAAAGGAGAAAATGAAATAACTGCTATATTGATTAATGTTAAGGGTCTGAACTAAATTATACAATGCTTTTAACACAGGACAGATCTGTGTTCTGGGAAGCGCCATGTGAGTATGTGGAGAAACACAGAGACAGAAACTCAATAACCTTATCTCCTCTCCTCTCTTCACCTCTCCTCCCCCCTCGCTTTCTCATCTTCTCTCATTTCCTCACGTTTGTCTCCCCATCATCTCTCCTCTCATCTATCCACCCCTCTTTTCCTGAAATCTCTTCGCACCCCCCCGTCCTCCACCTTGTTCTCAAGTCCCATCTTATGTCATTTCCTCACTCCTATATCCTATCCTATCTCTTCCATTCACTTCTCCTTTCCTCCCTCTGCCTATTATCACATTTTCTTCTACGTACTACTTCCTCATTTGTTGCTGCAGGCCAATCTCCAGATCTGCATACATATTCAAAAATGTGAATAATTTCAAACACTCTGAAACACTTATTGTTCAGTGCACAAAGAAACACAGTTAAAACTAATCACTGGTTTCTTCAAATAGAAGATGGGTGGAGAAGAAAGCTCGCGTGCAGTTTTGTCAATTTTAGCAGCACCGTTGTAGAGTAGTTTTTAAATGTGTGTGTGTGTGTGTGTGTGTGTGTGTGTGTGTTTGTGTGTTTGTGTGTGTGTGTGTGTGTGGCTCCGGGCACATGTGATGTGGGCAGATGAGATGGAGCTTGGTAATTGAGGGTTTTCCAAATGAGCCGATTGTTGCAGCGATTGTAAAACACATAAAGGATGGATTGTTAAAATGAGGGATGGGGGAGATGAAGGGAAGATAAGGAGATGGGGGAGTGGGAAGGAATGGGGGGGCAGATTGCTGCTTTTTTTCTGATGTGCAGACAGACAGACAGAGAGAGCTGGGGGTTTTTCCTCCATTTCTGCATGTGGTGCTCTAATTATCATGACAATAGCAACAATCAGGTGACAGACAGCAGGGTAGGTTATTAGAGTGGCACATGGAAGGAGCTGAAGTCTTATGAAGTTTTAAGCAGTGAAAACACACACACACATGGAAAGTAATAAAACAGGAAAACAAGCACTCATGCACATACCCCAGTGCAAAATGCAGTTGTGCAAAATTATAATTAATACCACTACAACCATTAATACTACTGTACAACATCTGCCATCATCACTACCTCATACTACAAGGTTGTATTATTCCTCCTATCAAGTCCAAGTTGGGGCAAGACATTATCACTCTCTGATTGTGTAATTTGACACAATGACCATCTTACATATTAGACAATAATATTGTGTAGTAAGGAGCCAGCATGACGCTCACTAATTGACACATTAAAATGTGTTTGTTTAGTTTATACAAAGAGCAAAGAGTAAAGACAACAACCTGTGGCTATGTGGGGATTATGTGTCCAGTAATTTCTTGGAGTCCTGGAAATGTTATTATCTTTGGACAGAGCTGGGCTAGTGGTTTTCCTCTGTTCCCAGTTTTTATGCTAAGTTAAGCTAAGCTAAATGCCTCTTTGTTCCAACTTCATAGACAGAGTGTCATAGGGACAACATATTTTTTTATGCAAACCCGGAAGTTAGTACAACCCTGGTTCCCTCAACAAAAGGCCAATGGGATTTTTTCCATATGCTTTTGGATTATTGCAGGAAATAAGCTCTGTGGCAAACAAAAGTTTATAACAGGTACACATTTTGTTTAGCAAGATAATCTTCACAGGTGAACACCAGTTTTATGATTTTTGAAGTCCAAATACAATCGCCGGGCATAAAAAAAAACTATTGTTAGTCTAGAAAGGAACTATAGTTTGCAAGTGTGCAAGTTTAAAAATAACGGGGCTGTAAAGGTGGAGTAGAAAGGAGACGAGTGTCCATATTTGGTTTGATGATGTAAAATCCCGGACAGCCTATATAGTTTCATTTAGCCACTTGCATTAAAAGCATTAAAAATCACGAGCGGGGTATTTACTGGTGTAATTCATGTGAAAATATGAAAATGTATTGACCTTGTGTTAACCCCAGACCCAATTTCAGGTGTCTAAACAAAAACCCATTCAAAAAACCCACTGACTTCAGAGCGAGGGAACTGGAATTGCAAAACTGCTAACTTTGTTCCCATTACTATGGTACTCTATTACAATGATCCTGCTATAGCTTTATTAGCTACTCCTGCCATTATTATCATTGTTACTTCTGCTGTACTTCTGCCATTACTGACACCTCGACTAGTCCTACCACAGCAAAACAGCAATTACTCCTAAAACTACTTCAAGCAGTACTACTCCTACTACTGCTACTGCTTATACCTGCACAAATCACTCCAACACACCTGGGCCCAGAGCAGTTTGGGTCAGTCTGCCTGATTAGACTGAGGGTGGTGTGAGGGAACCAGCTGGTGCCAGAGAAAAAGGCCTGAAGGAATTATTGACCCATCTCAACTCTCACCCCCTGACTCGCACATACACACCCTGGGCTATGACCTGTGAAATTACTGCCCTGCTAGTGAGATTTGTTTCTGAGGGGCTCTATCAGCTTCTCAATGTGCCGTGAAGACAGGTGAGGAGAGACACGTGTGTAAAAGCAGACAGATGCTCATTACATGCACATAGCAAAATAAAACAACACACAAATATATTATGTACACAAACATATATGTATACAACACAGAAAAAGCACCTTATTGCTTGTCAAGCTGCCCTTCTGCTATTTAGTTGTTTTCACTATTGTCATTTTTAGGATTTGCGGGTACTTCTTTAATTTATTCAGATTTTTAAAAATCAGAATAGTGAGTGTTACAGAAAGCACAGTGCCATAATTGTGCCTGTAAGAAGGAAAAAAAAGCATTTGATTTGGTTTGTTGCTGTAGTTCTTCTAAAAACAGCCTCGATTTTTCTAACCAAAGGTCACAGTTATTACATATCAAACATTATTTAGGCAGAAAGAGACAGCACAAGAGGAAATGAATAAGAAATGCAGTGGAGTTTCATTTGTAATATGCATGCAACTGAATATTCATGAGGCTAAAAAACACATCCAATTAACTTTATGAATTATTAATATTCATGATAAAAGCCTATGCATATGCATTTGCTCTTTTGTTGTTGGCCTAAGTGCCACTGAGCGCCAAAGTGTGATGGACTGAGGATTTGCGTGTGTGTTATGTGTGATAGAGGGAGAAGGGGGGGGGGGAAGCAGAGGTTAATTTATCTGCCTGCATTACAGTTCTTTTTTTGTACCCTCTCTCTCCTTCCTCTTGCCTGTCTGCAGAACTCTCACAAGCAGAAAAAGATGTCAGATCAGAAGAGAAACCAAGCAGTGACACTGAGGAGCGTGAATTGAATGGGATAGGGAAGAAGAGTCTGAGAGTACGTCCACACTAATCCAGCTAATATTAAAACACAGCTTATCTCACCTACATGAGCACACACACACTTGCTCTAATTGTTTAACATAATCATATGAAGTAAAGAAGTGTCTGTTTGAGAGACCAACCGTTTACACACTTGAACTCCAGACTAAGTCTGCAGAAAAAGGCCTGGAAATGTCCAGAGTTGCCCTTTCAAACATGTAGCATACAACAGGAGGTAGCCCATGCTCTCACCTACTGCAATTGGTTTATGCACAGGGGGCACGCCCAGGTACAGTGCGCAGGAGGCGGGACATGACATGGTCTTGTAGCCAGTTTGTAATTTAGTCATAAACAACTGAGTCTCTTGCCATACTTTACATTTGTCTGACAGTTGTGGCTCTTAACAACAGAAGTTCCTGAATCACATCATGTCCGCAGTTAGATATTTTCATTGGCGTCACTGTAAATGACCATTTTTCTTCACCACTGGATGTTTGCATTGTTCCAGTTTCATGCTGATCATGTGACAGAACATCATCAACATTCACCCTAGCTCTGTGTGAATACTCCGGATGGTACGACGTCTCATATGGGCTCACTCCAGCCTACTCGGACTCACTCCACTTAATGTCTGGGTCGACTGACTCAGACATTTACATTCTCACATACAGCTCCCCTGGGTAATGTTTAGAGAATTTCAGGGTTCCCCTGCATGTCTGTGCAGCTCACATGCACCTGCCACACGTCACCAATGTATTACCATGGTAATGGAGCTTTTATCTCATCCAGGGTCAGCACCATCAGCTCCGCTGTGTCCCATGCAGGTATGTGACAGACACACACACACACACACACTCACTACAGTACACATACAGAAAAAGAAACATTATTATTATTATTACACAACCAAACACTTCACCCACCCACACGCGAGAAGAGTTTTTATTCATCACTCACATTTGGTGACGACACCCTCCAGCCTGATGATGTTCGGGTGGTCAAACTGTCCCATGATGGAGGCCTCAGACAGGAAGTCCCTCCTCTGTTTGTCAGAGTAGCCCGCCTTCAGACTCTTGATGGCCACGTAGATCTCCCTCTTTCCTTGCACACGCAGCCGACCACTGCACACCTCCCCGAATTCTCCTACACACACACACACACACACACACACACAAAGGATTAATCAAACTATGAAACTTTCTGGCAAAAAATAAGAGCTTGTACCAAAAAATATCTGAGTACTCATCAGAATTTTTGGGAGTTTTCTAGTATATTATATTGAATATATAATTGGCATCCAGAATTTTGGTGCTACTTAGATGTTTTAGTTTAATTTGCAAAAATAAGGAAAAAAAAGCCCATGCATGCAAATATCAGAATTAGAATCTGAATCAGAATCTGCTTTATTGGCCAGGTGTGTCGGACACATGAGGAATTTGACTCTGGTACATTGGCTCTCAAAGTACCAGTCAAATATGAGTCAAAGGAATCCCTACATTTTAATTCATTACATTTGAATGCTTGTTTGACTGTTTAATTAGTGTCTACCCCAGTTTTACTCACCGGCTCCAATGACTCTCTCTATGCGGATATTGGAAGCATCAATCTCTTTGGCAAAGTCTCTGACAGCCTGGTTGGGGTCTTCGTAGGTGTGAGGATGGATGTAGGTCCTGCTCCCTGGAAGCTTGACTTCAAGAGTGGAAAATTGGGCAAGTGGGGAGAGAAAGATAAATGCACATATACTCAGTTTTTACCAGGTACTGTATATGGTTGGACAGTTTTTTTCTAAAAGGTTAGTAGATTTAATAAGATGTTGGTCTCCATAAAGGAAAAGTTTTTTCCCTCGGCGTACTCGGACTTTTGCGTGATGTGAGTGCACATGGGTACTTGAGTGTGGATGCTCTGTTTGAGTGACATTAAAAATTATTACATAATGAAACACATAACTAGTTTGTTAGCAATGGTGTTAAAATTATTCATAATTTTAACAGGAACCCATAAGGTGCTTCACTCTGCCAGCAAACATTTGCAAGAAAGTATGAAACAATGTGGTTTCCTCAGCTGACAAAGTTAGACTTTTACTCTGTCCTGTACAGGCTGCTCCTACTGTTTAGGTTCTTGTGATACATTTGACGTTATGCAAACAACGTAGGAGCATTGTATGTGAATAAATAAACAGTACTTTTCAGGGTGTTGCTGAGTGTTTGACTGAGTTCCTGTTGATGAAATATTCCACCTTCTGTCAGTTGTTTATTGCCATAAAAAACAGGCAGCAATCTGAGTCACTGCCGGTGGGTGTGAAGTTTGGTTTAAAGACAGATTACGTGTGTGTGTGTGTGTGTGTGTGTGTGTGTGTGTGTGTGTGTGCGTGCGTGTGCTTGCATAAACATGCATTTAAAAATAAATCACTGTATTTGGAAAACAAAACAAAAACAAAATGTGTATCCATCATGATTCTAGCATATGATAAGGAAACGACACATTCCAGGTTTTGATTGCAACAAAAGACATTGTTTATCTATGTGGATGTGTACTGTTGTTTTTATTTGGGGGTGTGTGTGTTTGTCTTTACCTCTTCTATGCTGAAACTGCATCTTCTCTTCATCTGGGTCTTGTTTGGCTTTGATATATCCACAGTGTCTAGAAAGAGTTGCAGAGCTGCATTACAGCCCTGTATATTAACCCATATATACTATGTCAATACAGTATTGTAGCCCATCTGTGGAAGATCACATACTCTTGAGTGTGTACATGCAATTTCACACATACTATACTGTACCTTTGCTATAATAAATCTATGATATTTCCAGGAAAACCCCAAGCGACACTGCACCATGTGTGTGTGTGTGTGTATGTGTGTGTGAAGAACTAGATATTTTCTCTTGTCTCTACACACCCAAGTCTTTGTATAGGACAAGCCTGGAGGAAAAACACACACTATTCCTCTTTTCCTCTGTGTCTACCTGTCACGTTCAGACTTCCTCCTAAGCTGTGATGCCTGAGGTTGAGTGAATGAGTGTGCATGTGTGTCACAGATGTCCCTATAGAGGCAGATCTATGCATTGTATAGCATTCGTCTCTTTATCCATCTATGGACCCTTCTGGCCATTAACCGTCACATCTATGCCCTTTTCAAACCCCCTGCCCACACATGCACATACCCTGCTGCGTAGGTCGGTTGAGCGATCAAGACAAAGTATTGACAAATTGATCAAATCATTCCTGTTGTCCAGCTGTGAGGAAGTGTTAAACTTAGTCTGTTTTACAGACCTCACAGGGGACACTGCTAGTGTGTGTGTCTGTGTGTGTCATATGTCTGCATCAGTGCATTTTTCTTTCTACTTTTTCAATCAGCCATAACTGTCAGTGAGAATTACTGCTCTTTTAAATTCAGCACAAAAATGTAGGCCAAAAAACATAAAATGTAAAAGCAGTTTCAGTTTCCATCATAATCACATAATGAGGTACTAAACTCAACATATATGTATTCTCCTCATTTCTCTTCTCCTCCACTGTTGCTGTACAGGTAAATCAGCGACCAGTCAGTGTGTCTGTCCATCATGAAGATAAATTGATCTGGGCTTAGAGTCAAGGGTAACTGGAATGTGCAGCACAGTCAGGATGTGATTTAAGGAAGCAGTAGCAAGGAGAACAGAAGAGCAAAGGAGACTGAAAGAAAGATTTAATAAAGATTTAATAATGAAAACTGAGAGGAGAAATGAGATAAAGACAAAAAGGACAGAAATAATAAACGAGAGGAATACTGAGTACAGGAGAAACAGAGTAATGTTATGACTAATAATGAGAAACACACACAGGCATCAGGAATGGAGAAAGGTGGGGTCTCAGTAGGCTCAGTAAATGTCAGTCACTTGGTGTTTAATCCTTGTGTTGATTTTACATAGCTGAATGCATGGTATAACCCAGACATCAATAGTGTATCTTGGGAATACACACACACACACACACGCACGAGGGTAGAGGCCGGTTGCTGACATTTGGGGGAAAACAAGGAAAGAGGGGAGGAATAATGTTCTTATAAAAGGGGAGTTGGGCTCCACAGCTGGGCATAAGCCAATTGAACACCAGGGGACTATCATTATCCCCTTGACACACACTCACACATATAAAGCACCTTGGGCCATGTGTGTAGAACATATGGGGAACGGGGACATGGGTCACACCTCTGCTCCGAGTGTGATAATCCCATGAGCCTCCACCCCCTACTACATTCACACACACAGACACACACACACAGACACACCTACATGTGTGCATGTTCTGCAAAACACCCGGACCTCCGCTTAAAACACTTCACTATCACTGCTGGATGTGTATCTTTGTTTGTGTCTGTTGCTCCATGGGTGGGTGGCTGCATGTGTGTGTGTGTGTGTGTGTGTGTCTGATGGGAAATGAACACATTTCCATAGTAATTAAAGAGCAACTCATTTCTCCTCTCCAGTTAGAAATGTCATGAATCATTAGCATTGCAGTCTTAAACATGGCACAAAACCTGACATGGCTGTGGCTTTTGTTTCCCCCAACAGCTGTCTGTGTGTGTCTGAACTGGGTTTTATTGAATACCCTAAACTACTGGAAGTGCAGCTGACTTGTACTTCATCTATTAAAGACTCAGCAGGACAGTGAATGTGAAGGCCATTTTCTGATGCCACAGGTATTTATTTTTAAGAACTCAGGTTTTTGTTGAGTTTTCACATTTAAAACTGAAAGATGTGGCAGTAATTAAAAAAAAGCAGAACAGAACAAATTGTTGTGTGAGGGTAATCAAATGTATGTATGCATTAGTCTCCACTTTACAGAAATTTCTGTTAAAAATAATGTCTGTCAAAGGTTGGTGTTTGGTGAAAAGTAATGCTGAGCAGATTCCTTTTTTGTTCGTTTAAGAAGGACGTATTTATATTGAAATTATCTACAAACCTTTCATTAAAATGCATAAAATGCAGGCTGGACCTATTTGAGAAATCTTCACTGTCCCTATCATATTCATTTTGGCCATCAAAAACATGATTATTGTTTTTATGGCTATGTTAAAGCAGCTGCATTGTTAAGGTGCAGGAAAAGAGCATCAAGAATGATCTATCCAACTTAAGTCAAGGCAGATGACAGGTCCTGCTCAGAAAAATACAATTAGAATTGCACCTCAACTGTGTAAATTTGGTGTAGAATATCGAGTGATATGTGTGAAAGCTCTGCAACAGCTACTGTGGACCCTGTAGTGAGAATGTTCAGCACTTGTGGTTAAGTATTCAAAAAGTCGATGCTGATTTGAAGATGGGATGGATTTTTCAACAAATAATAATCCAAAAGCGCGGTAGCTTCAGCCTAACATCAGATGATTGACATTTCTGTTTGCATGTTCTCACTGTGCCTGCTTGGGTTCTCTCCGGGTACCCCAGCTTCCTCCCACAGTCCAAAGACATGCAGTTTAGGGTGACTGGCGATTCAAAATTGCCCGTAGGAGTGAATGTGGGCTTGTGTGGTTGTCTGTCTCTAAGTGTCAGCCCTGTGATAGACTGGAAACCTGTCCAGGGTGTACCCCACCTCTCACCCAATGCCAGCTGGGATTGGCTCCAGCCCCATGTCACTCTTCTTAGATAAGCAGTATAGATCATGGATGGATGGATAGCTGGAAACTCTAGTCTGTGGTTCACATTCCTGTCTTTAACAATGGGAATTAGCAGTATGTCAATTTATGTTGTAGGAGAAAAGATTGTGGCCAAGGCATATCCCATAACAACTTTTGCAATAGTACTTTCGTTTGTTGATATAGTTATAGTCGCCACATAACCCAGATGAGTGTGCTAGTTGTCAGCTACTGAATTGGATGTCACAAGCAGTTACAGAATGAACATTCAGAGGCTCTTGAGTGGAGATGTTCTCCTGCGTTTCCATTAGCTGCTTCTTTAATCTCCTGTACAACTGTACTGTACTCTGCTGGCTCACACTGCTGTATATTCATGCAGATTTAAAAGTACGCACACCTGCACTAATTACGCAAAACACACACACATTAATAGAGGACAATATCAGTATCACACCCGGGTTCTCACCTTTCTCTCCGTTTCTCTCTCTGTTCCACTTCACTGAGGACAACAGGCTATCCCTGTCCTCCAAAGCCACACATTCCACATTTGCATATCAATTTACTTTTTAATATAATACTCTGTCACTCGAGACCCAGTTCTCATTCTGCTAGCAAGCTTCCACCTTCACAGAAGTCCATCCATATATTATCATCAACCTAGCCACTCCCCCATTTCCATCGTCCTCTCCGTTTCCGCTTTTTATCTCTCGGGTGTTATTTTCTTTCTTAATTCTTTTTTTAAGTGAAAACATTCCCTCGTCTAGTAACCCATTTATTCTCTTTTCTTCCTCCTTTTTCCATCCATTTATCCATCCCCCTGTCCCTCCGCAGTCTTTTTCTTTATGCTGTTTTATGGTACAAAGAGTGGGCAGTAGGAAAGAGAAATAAAGAAGGAGGAGGGAAGGGAAATGGAAAGAGAGAGTGCTGACAGGCAGACTGCACGATGGGGGTCCAAGCCTGCATACCAACTAACGAGCAATCAGATGGAGGGGAAGAGCGAGGAGAGAAGAGGAGGCAGCCATAGGAAGGGATGTGGACAGAAGCAGGGGTTGGGGAAGTGTTTGGGCTGAAACCAAAGGAGATGAAGATGCAGAGGAGGAAGGAGTGTTACAGCAAACAGAAGTTGCGTGAGTAAGGAGACAAGCAACAACGAGGAGATGTAAAAGTTTCACATTAGGGGTGATTGAAAACAGGATGGATGGCAATGTCGAATTCTGGCTCTGTGGGTGTATAATATGAAGAAGGACAGTGCAACAACAAAGCACAGCACTGTCAGCACACAGCTCACCCTAAAGGAGAGTAGGAGCAAGATCAAGAGACTTGATGGACAGATTAAGAGCAGGTCTCAAAGAGAAGAGTGTCATTCAACAGTGTGACTGCAGGATGTGGGCGGGAAAAACAATGGCATCCACAAGGCCCTGACTAATGTAGCAGTAAACTGGCAAAGATAAAGGCAGTCAGTGAGGAAGCAATTCAAATTATACCTTTGATTACTCCTTCTCTGCTATATTTGCTCATTTTTACTTGCTTGTTCTTCATCCAATTGAGCCAAAGCTGGATTCTATCCCAGTGCACATTGCCCAGAAAACAAGGAAATGCCTTGGGCAGGTTGCCAGTGCACATCACAAGACTAACACAACATAGATCAGCACACTCAAATAGACAGTTTGGAGTACTGAGTTCACGTGACACTGGGAAGAAATCAGTGCACACAGAGGTGCACTCACATGAATGCAGGGTGAAAAATGAGTTTTCGACATTCATTCAGATGATAGCTTGAACCGCAAATGTTACGCAAATCAGAACTGACAAAATGTACTTAGTCAGGCATCCTCTTTACTGTTTAGATTTCAAGAACATGCATGTCCTTAGCATGTATTTAGCATGATCATGGTCGCTATCTGAGCATGATCATGCTAAATACATTTGTTCTCAAACCATCAGGATGGCGACCTCTCTATGTCCTCTGCCTTATCTAGCACAGTCCTCTCCGATGCATTTCCCTGCACATTTGCATATTTGAATACTTGATATT